TGTCTGTGATCAGTTTATAAACCACAAGTAGTTTGGAACAAGTCTTCTAGCTTTTACCTGTGACAGTTGTCCACCACTGTCAATGGTATTCCCTTGATAACGGTGCCTTGGAGGAAAGAGCACCCTGCTAATGACTTTATCTTGCTAAATTTCTGTCCTGTGATCGCTTAATCAGTTCTCTTTTTTTTTTTTTTTTGAGTCATTTGGCATCTCTAGATTGATAAAACTGGGAACAATTACAAGTCTTGGTTTACTTGGGCAAGCAACCTGGTGATTATTGAACTTGTTCTGTATTTTAAGGGATAGACATAAGTGCAGAGAGCAAACATACAAACATAAAGAAATTGCTTCTAGATGGTGAAAGAGTTAATATACATTCATAAGCAGATGGCTTTACTAGTGATTCCTTTTTTCAAATCTAAGCAATCTAATTTAATCATGACAAGCCCTGTGTTTCTTAATAGCCAAGAAAAGCACATGCGGCTCTGGAGCAGGACACTGGGAAGATTTCCCTTTCCGAGTCGATGCATTGGTGTTCAAATGCTTCTTACCGCGAACGTTGAAACTCTGAACGTGGCGCTGTGAACTCCCCGTGTGTTTCACTTATTTCTGTACTCGTGAATATGAGCGTGTAACAAAACTGACATGAAGCTTCATGAAGTGTTTGTGCTAGGTAGGAACTGAATTGTTTGTGACATTGGTATGCTGCTTTCTAATAAATAGCAAAGCTACAACTCCTTTCTCAAGATTCACCAAAGGGTCCAAATTAAGTGCTCCGTAGTCTGGATTACACCACCATGAGTGCTTTCTGGTGCTGAAACACACAGTAGCTCTACTACTGCTTGAAAAATGGATGCAAGTGGTCTGTTTAGCTGAAGGTTCCTCTATCCAGTAGTTACTGTTTGCTGCAGGCATCCAGACAGGGCTGCTGCTACGCGTGGCTTCACCAGCAGGTCATTGCAGCCAGAGCCAGGAATGAAATCCTGATGCCCGGTGGTCCTGAGCTAGTTCGTAAGTAGTTGCTTCCCTCTTTGGTTCGCTCTTGTCAGCTTAAGTTTATGCTTTCCTCCAGTAGTAAAATTACTTCAATTTACAGTTGAAGTAGAAGAGCACAGTAAAAGTGTTGTGAACTGAAAACCATGGGCTCTAAACAGCTGAACAGTCCACATTTAATTTTGTTACCCCTGGATCTTGGAATAATATCCAAAGCCATTTGAAATAAAGTCCAGACTGACCTGTAAATAGAATTTCATCCAGGTTGACTTGTAAGTATTCTGCTGTGCCAGTATATGACGTGGCATTGTGCAGTTGCTGTTGATATTTCGATGAATGCAGAATATCTGTTAAGAGGGTGTGACAGGTTGAGGCTGGGTGTAGTTTGACAGATTTCCTGTATATGGAAAAAGGAAGACTGTTATCTGTACAACCTCCTAGGAGTCTGGAACTTGATTTAGTAAACTAATGCTTCTAGGGAGAAAAAGCATGTCTTTAAAGGTTAACCACTGGATGCATCTGGACATTGCTGGTGAGACACAGATGTATGAAACTAATCCAGTTTATTAGGAATTATCCATCGGATGGAAACAATATTTACTTGGCTCTTATAGGAGATTAGTTTGACAGGCCTCATGTTCATAAGTGATTGTGCTTTAAGCTTATTGGCAAATTCTGTGGAAAAGCCCAAGTTTACTGTGTGGATCATTGTGTGTCAGTAGTTACCTGCGGAGTAAGGTCCCTTCCTGGATCACAGTTGAGCCACGTAGGAAACTTGATTTGGTTTTGAGGGCTTCATTTATTACTGCCGCCTTTCCTGAGTGCAAAGTCCATACCATTTTTAAACTTCACATGTAAAATAACGCCCTGTGACCTGAAAACTTCCACTGAGGTCTGAGTTTTTAGGATTGTAATTTATGAAAGTATCTGCTCAGTGCTCATTAGCTCAAAACCAAATTTATGCTAGGAAAAGAACTAAACAGAAGACATTCTGCTACTGTATAAATGCATGGATCATTTTTGTTTGAACACTGTCTTAAATGCCAGTTCCCCTGCATGTCATAAAATACAGGAGAACTGAAAAAGGGTCATAGTAAAGCGACCAGAATGATCAAAAGTGTGAGACAGCATTTGTGTAAGGAATGACTAAGTAGAGTAGGTCTCTTTGGGCTAGGAGTGGGAGGACTGAGCTGGAGACGTGATGAACGCGTGTAGAATTGTGAGCGGCAGAAAAGGGGTGAATGTCAAGTGATTCTCCTTCGCTGTTGTTCTGTACAAAAATTGAGGGTTGTTGAAGCAACAGACGGGAGGTGCAGGATAGATGAAGGTGATGGTTCTTCAGAGTCCATGGCTGAGCAGTGGATCTCTTTGTGTTAGGGGCTGTCGATGTTAATTGTGGAACTGAGAAATGACTGATTGAATTTATAAAATAAAAGTCTGTTGAGGGCCTCTGATTCAAGAAGTCAGAGTTGGAAATTTTTTGGAGCTGGAAGATTATCCTAGGAAGAAGCATTGTTTGTTTACCATTGTGCAGATCCCTAGGGAGGTATCTAGAGCTGGTTTCTGAACACAGAGTACCAGGCTAGGTGGACATTTTCCCTGGTGTGGTGTGGCTAATTTTAAGGTTTTTTGGTGAATTTGTAGCTAAGTTGCCTCTGGCTCCATAAGTAAACTAATTTGCTAAATTTCATCAACCCAATTTGTGGATCTGTAGAACAACTTTGGCCAGAAGGAGGAGAACTGGTGTTACTGCTCCTGTAGAGTTGTACGCTTAAGATAAGGTAGAAATTGGAGAGGCCATGATAGTTTTAAACACCTAGTAAAGGAAAGGAAAATTATATCACATCAGTAATTTTTGCAAAGCAATGGGTGCAGTGACTTGTTTCAGAGTTTTTCAGAATGTATAGCACATCTGTTTTGCCTGAATAATGAGAAGCTAATGTGTCTGTGGGACAAACTTAGCAGTCTGTGCTTTGGTCACGGCTACTTTTTAATGCGGAGTTTTGGGAAAGAGAACTGGTGGAATCCGAGCAAAGAAGGAATGGGTCTTCCTGTATGAGATGGCTGCATCTGTTAAACCAATTTTAATGCAGTATTTTTAAACTACAAACCACCTAAACTCTGAAGCCTTGTTCATAGGTGCCATGCTGGGTCTGGAAGCCATAATTCCTCCTGGTTATTGATGCCCCTGTGTTAGAGGTTACTGTTCCTTCTGATTTGCTGGGAACTGTTTCATGTTGGTGTGAATGATACATGGGCAAAATGAGCCAGGTTAGTACAACTAAAAGGTCTTTGATAACTGGCTTTCTAGAAGGAGCACTCTCCTCTTCATGTCTAATGGCAAATTTGAGAGTATAGTTAAGTCTTCTTGCCCAAGACTGTTGACACAGGTTGAAAAGGTAGCTGCTTCTACCTATGAGGTCTGCAGAATGACCTGTTCCCTAAGTGTCAGTGGGTTAAACTATTTCAAATGATGTGCTGGTTTAATTTAAGGAAACTTCTGCATCCTGGGAAGGGCAAAATAAATGTTTCCTGCATGTGCTTCTCTAAATATTCAGCTTAGCCCTGTATGTTACATTCAAATTAATAGAATGAAAGATAGAATCTGGCACAACAAGCTGAAGAAAAGCCACAGCTAAGTCTCAGCTGATGTGTTTTATGCGGTCTAAAGGATTTGGAAGGAATGTAAGTTGAGTGCCATCTTACTGTACTTAAGGTCTTTGCTTGGCTGCCTGTAAAGATTTAAAGGGGAATCATGTCAGAGTTGCGATATAAATCCAAATAAAATAAACCAAGGCAACATAAAGAACCTAAAAGTTGACATGAAGCAAAATGCGTATCCTTCAAAAAGTAGGATATACTGGATATTTGGGTGAGGCTTTTATTAGCAGTCAAGTGTCAAGGAATTCATATGCTACAGTTGCAACATAAACTTCCTGCTGGATAAATTCTCCAGGTTTTATTGTTTATGTCCTAACCTATCATGAAGATATAGTGCAAGAATTGACATACATGGGAAATTTATCAAGTAATCTTGGTACGTGGGTGCTAGTTCTTTTGGCTGTTTGATAAACTGCCTTATTTTATACTGGCGTGTGTGTGATCTTGCTTGCAGAAGCATTCCAGTTTCAAAGGGTTGGGACTGCTGCCAAAAATTACTTGAATGTGGAAATCACATGCGTGTTCCTTCAAGTAATCCTTAGTGGTAGCTCTTTGAGCATCATTGAAAGGCAGTAAGCTTACTTCTTCCCTCTTCCTTCTCCCCCTGTGAAAGTTAAAAGAACTGTGAACGTGTAGGAGAGTGTATGTGATCCAGCAGTCAGAGCAAAATAGACTGAGAGCGAGGTTTGTCTGGTTTCCAAAGCTGTTCCCCAACTACGTTAGTTATTTGTTATAGATTTTACATTTTCATAAAATGATTCATTTTCTTCTGAAAGATGTAGCATAAGGAGAACTGAAGGATTTAAGGTTAATGTTAGAATTGGTTGATCTTCCTCTGTCTATATGGAAGCCATAAAAAGAAAAGCTAGTCTTTGGGTAGAAGAGTTTCGTAACAACAGAATTTAAATTTGGGACAGGTAATTGTGTGACCAACAGACGCAGTCTGAGATTGGAGAGTATTTTCAAAAAACAACAAGAACAGAAACCAAAACAAAACTTGCTTCAGGTCATCAGCTAATGAACTGTAGAAACCGGGACGAAATTCCTTACTCAAATACAGCTTTGCCTTGGTGCTTGCTTTGTGGTATTATTTTGCTTTGAGGCGTTTGGCATATCCTTGGTTATCACTGGTTTGTTATGGCACGGTAACTTCCATATACACTTTTAATAGGCTCTCATTTCTGTCCATCAAGTTGCTTTTAACTCTTGTAGTCAGCTGTAATTCTTACAACTATAGCTTTTAGAAGAAGAAAGTTATTTGCCAAGTTATAGTTCTTCTGGCGTTACTGCATTCTCTTGACTGTAAAATAAAATTCAGTATGTTGCTGCTTGTTCTCTAATTCCAGGAAAGCCAATATTTTCAGTGGACATTCACCCAGATGGGACCAAGTTTGCAACAGGAGGACAAGGTACGTCTGCATACTGATAGAAGGCAGAATTTTGGCTATAGTGATAATCTTGTGCCTTCACAACACTTTAATCAGTTTGACCCTTTTAAAAACACATCACTTACATAATTATCTATTTCTTAGAAATGTAAGTCATTAAAATGTATTGAAAAGTGCTGCTGTTACTGCAGAAGGCAGGGTTACATTTTCTGATGTACTCATCCTCTTGGGCATCATTGAGATAGTAGCTGCAGTAATTGAGTTGTGGCCATACTGGCCAAATTTCTTTTTTACTTGAAAAGGAACTGAATGTGAAGTTGAGCTTTTTGACCTGCTGAATAGTAGAGCTATTGGGACAAAAAAAATCCAATTATATAAATGGAATAGCTCAAGAAATATATGCAAAAATATTATTTGGATCACAATAGTGAATAATTTTGTTGGCTACGGTAATTGCAATTTAGGATTTGAATATACCTTTTTTAAAATACAATTTTATTATAAATAGTTTATCCCTATAGTTGGTATCTGTTATATATAGTACGATTTTTTTGAACAAGGCCGTATAACTTTATTTTTAATAGCTTCAAGAAAAATAAAACACTTCTGACTCAGTGTAATGATATCAGAATGGCATCTGTATTCACATGTCTCCAAAGTTCCCACTGCAGTAATGCCTAAATTTTAGCATCTGTTCCGGAACTGAGCTTAAGTTGAAAAGCTTTTTTGCGTGTATTTAAAAGCGGGGGCGGGGGGGCTTTTTGTTCTCTTACAGGTCAGGATTCTGGGAAAGTTGTGATCTGGAATATGGCTCCTGTCCTGAAAGAGGAAGATGAAAAGAATGAAAATATTCCCAAGATGCTTTGTCAGATGGACAATCACTTAGGTAAGAAAGACTTTTTTTTTTTTTTAAACTGGCATAAATTTGGCTTTGCCAAAGCATAAGCATTACATGTTTGTAACTACAAAAGTTATGCCCTGTCCAGTGGTGAGGAATCAATAAAATACAGCAGAGTGATCTCATACTTCAGCTATATACTTTAGATATTCAGGAGAAAATGTTAAAATGTGGGAAAATATAGAGAGAAATATAGATACCTTTGGAAGTCTCTTCCCTATGAGCTTTTTCCAGCTCTGACCACAAAGTAATTGATCATGCACATTCTGAGAAACTGAGGAGCTCTGAAGGAAAGAGCAAGAGAAGAAATAAGTGTAAAAGAAACATCAGACAAAATATATTGGTTATAGTTCTAAATTATTCTGGATTTATTGCACACTACATTCGAAAGGAGTATGATTACCTGAACAAGCTGTTTCTTCTTCTCTTCAAGATGTATCTTTCCTTCTTTGCTGTCTTAATCCCACCTCGTTTACCACAAGCAGTTTCCTTCGTTAGATTAATATTAATCTTTCTTCTTTTGAGCTACTTTTGGTGGATCTTTTTTAAATAAGGGATAGGGTTTTTTTTAAACTAAGAAGTTCCTGAACTGCTACTGACAGATAAGTACCAATTAATTTATCTAAAGCAGACAGAGTAACTGCTTTGAGTGGAAAAAGCATGCTTAAATCCTAAACGTCTCCTGTCAAGTCTTGCTTATTATAAACTCTGTCCCCAGTCCAGAACCACTTAATCTCATATTTCATCTTACAAACTTTCTTTTCTACATTTCAGCTTGTGTGAACTGTGTGCGATGGTCAAACAATGGAGTTTACTTGGCTTCAGGGGGAGATGACAAGTTGATTATGGTGTGGAAACGAGCTGCGTAAGCATATTTCTTCCTTCTCAATTTTATATTTTTATCTCAAGTAGGTTACTCTGTCACATCCCTTAGTGTTTCTTCCCTGTGCTGGCCTTTTGTAAGCTCACTGCTTCACCTGGTGTGTAAGGAGCTGAAACCTGTGACTCCACATCACTGGTATTGGAGATTTGGTCTCCCGTCTCTTGGGCTGGAGTGCATGTCTACCTGGGCAACCTCTCTCCTCTCAAGGAGCTGAGGCATTTTCTTCTGTTCTTGAAGAAAGCTTCCTGATGAGATTTGGAGAGTTATCTTAAATGTTCTCATTTTTTGCTGTCCTGTTCTTGAAGAAAGCTTCCTGATGAGATTCTTAATGAACATTTCTTAAATGTTCTCATTTTTTGCTGTCTGTAGAAATCGTACATTTCATTGAAGCTAGTTTTTTAACAACTGGAATTACGTTCTCTCAAAAAAAATTTTTTTTTTTTTTTTTTGCTTCAGTTCTTATTGCAGGAATAACCGACTATAAAATAGAAGTGTACCGTGCAGCTAATTTCCTTTGGAAAGAAAGCTTGAACAGCTTGAGGTGGTTCTGTTCATAACTGTTTCTGTTTTAATTAGGTACATTGGACCTAGCACTGTGTTTGGTTCTAGTAGCAAACTTACTAATGTTGAACAGTGGAGGTGTGTATCAATTCTTAGAAGCCATTCAGGGGGTAAGTTAAAAGGTGTTAAATGAACATAATTTGCACGTATTTGGAAAAAACCCTGGCTTTCAGTGTCACATTTGCTTGCTCGAAACATATATTTTTGTTGGCAAGTCAGTAATTACTTTTAAGAGCAACAATGAAAATCTAAAAGAAAAGGTCACGTTTAATCGAATGCTGATTTTCATACAAGTAACTTCTGGCAAAGTAGTAGAAAACTTCGGGGAAGTATGTAGTAGAAAAATTAGCAACTAAGAAACTTATATTTTGCTATTTGCTAGCTTAAAAGTGAATCTGAATAAGGGAAGCTAAACTCTATTCTTATTTAAATAAACGTTCACACTTGCAGTGAATGATGTCCTGGTTGGCAACAGATAAAGTTTTGGTAAACCAAAGAATATTAATATTTGTTTAGAAAAATAATAACTAAAAAGCAATGCAAAAGATGAATAAACCAGATAATTTCAAGTGTGTTTTGCACCTGCTGACATGAGCTGTGATTAAAATCAAGATTGAAATCACTTTGATCACTGCACATGTGTTGGATTAAAGCAAGTGCATTGCAATAGCTGCTGTTGCTTTTTCATTCAGAACGAGACAAAGTACTTTATACAGGCATTAGTACTTCCTATGATCACTAAACATTGCTTTCTCTGCTTTGGATGTTGGGGTTTTTTTTATTTTGTTCCCCATTGAACATTGTAAGTTGGAGAGTCTCGCTCCCAATGAGTGTTGCCATGTTCTTTCTTACCTTCCACTCTAATGAGATGATAACCATTTCTCGGAGACAGAAAAAATGTTGCCACACAAGTTCTTTTTAAAAAGTTTTTTTGATTCTCTGAATTTCATCAGTGTCTTAAATGGAAACTTTTTTTTAAACAGATGTCATGGATGTAGCGTGGTCTCCCCATGATGCCTGGCTGGCATCCTGTAGTGTGGATAACACTGTTGTCATCTGGAATGCTGTCAAATTTCCAGGTGAGAATTCTTACATGTGCAAATACGTAAAGCTTTGTGACAAACTCTTCCCTCCATGGATGTATTTCACTGACTGTGAAAATCTCTATGTGGGAATGGGTTGTCTGTCTTTTGAGATGACACCCTTGCAATCTGGTGAGTCGGTCCTTCTTCCAAGTTTGGATGGCAATAAGCAGTGGATTCCACTGTGCTATAGACAGCAGCTATGTTCAGGTTGTGCTGCTGATTTTACATGAAGGTCATCATTACATGTATCTTCTTTTTCACCTTCTCTGCAAAATCCCAAATAGATAGAACTTCGGCTGATATTACATCTATATATGCATATATTTTTTTTCCCTGTTGCCTTTGTACCTACAGGACTTTCCATTCATTTGCCTTTGGGGGCGCATTATCTTATTTACCCCATTTTAAAGGCTGCTGCTTAATAAGCAGTGTGACTTTAGATGATGAAGGTGAGGAAGGAAGGACTAAAGGAGCCTCACAGTAGCAGAAGCTTTCAAATCTTACATTTGATGGCCATTTTCCTTCTTCCATTGCTGCAGTGCTGGCAATTCACATAGTCCTGAGGTCTCTGTTTCTCAGGGACCATGCTGCCAGGCGCAGCCAGTGCACTGGACAGCTTTAGCTGAACTGCAAGCGTCTGTGGCGGTTAGGGAGCATGTGCCTTTATGTGGCTGCTTATCACCACATAACTTGATGTAGGCTAAAACTCCCATTGTGTGGTGCCTAGTCGCTGCTGTTTATTTTAGCGTTGCTTCCAATCCTGGTATCAGAGTTTTTAGACTTTCAAGCTAACTGTGTAGCCTGTGCAGTGTTCTCAGACTCTTATCTCACAGTCTGATAAGCAGGAGATTGACTGAAAGTAGCTTACCAGATCTGCCAGGCTTGTGTGTCTCTTCAGTCACAACTTTGACTGAGTTCATATTTGATGCACAAAGCTGAATTTGTTGTGATAATCTTTGGGTGCGAAGGAAAGGTTGAATGTTTAACTGAAGTTCCAGTTAAACTCCTGCTTTCCATTGCTTGAAAGTGCCATTCTGAAGTGCCTGGGCTCTGCTGGTCTTCCTGCTCTGATCTATTTCTTATAAAGAGTTTTGCACCCCTTATTCTGGCCAGAGTTCTCTCTACCCCTTTTTAAATATCATTCTTAGCTTAAGTACAGGTTCCAGTTTGGTTGATATGTTGTTGTTTGTACATTAAAGGAAGTTGTTTTTAATGTACTGTTTCAAAAAGATTTTGTAAATCTCCTCAACAGTCTGTCCTAAAGGAGGTATCAGTAACTACTCTCTATTCTCAATTTTTGTGTGCGCAGAAATTCTTGCCACTTTGAAGGGGCATTCTGGCTTGGTGAAAGGGCTGACCTGGGATCCTGTTGGAAAATATATTGCCTCTCAGGCTGATGATCGAAGTTTGAAGGTGTGGCGGACCATGGACTGGCAGTTGGAAACCAGCATCACAAAACCCTTTGATGAGGTACTTCAGAATGTGTGACTATGACTATTCATAGTGAATTCCTATAGAATGAACAAAAGTTACAAGAATAATTCTCATTCCGCAGAAATATTACTTAATTTAACAGTGCCGAATGAAATGAAACTGAGATGGCATGTTCAAAAGGGGATAAAAATGAGCTGCTTTCTCACACATGTGATTGAATTGAGACTCTTATTGCCATTGGAGGTTGTGGGTGCCAAAGGTTTCCATGGATTATGTAAACCATTAAGTAAATTCCTGGAAATGAGGAGGTTATTTCAAGGAAGTATTGGCACACTAATTACATTGTTCTTATATTCTTCCCTATGCATCGTCTATTGGCCACTATCAGAAAGGAGATAAGTACTTAGGAGGGATCTTTGGTCTTGCATCATAGGGCTGTTATGTGATGACTTTGATCAAGAGATCAAATTTCTGGGGACAGAAGCTGGTGCTTAGTGAGTGGAGTGTTTTGCAGTGATCTTATGGTATTGTCATTAGTACAATTACTCTTCATAACAGACTTACAAATGCCTAAATTCATGTGTGAGCAGGTGTTGCAAGCGGAAGTCTCATTATTAGCAGTTGGTATGCTGCAGCCCTGTCACTAACTAGGACTTTGATGAATACTGAGTGTACAGTATCCAAAAAGACTTACATTTTGTTTCCTTCAAAAAAGTTCTCTGGGTTCCTTTTTCCCCCTTTTGGTAGGGCTTCATAAGTTACACTAGATCACCTCTGTAAACATGGCTGAAGTGCTGAGAATTGTGTGTAATGTCAGTCTTTTATATTCACAAAAAAATTACTTTGTAATCATATTCCCTAAATCTAAAATTTTAAATAGTTTGCATTAAAAACCCATTTGTTTGCCAAACACTTCTAAAGCTCTAGTATGTTTATGTGTGTGTTTTTTTGGTTTGTTGTTTTTTTTTGTTTGTTTGTTTTTTTTCCTGGCAGTGTGGAGGGACAACTCATGTGTTGCGTCTTAGCTGGTCACCTGATGGTCACTATCTTGTTTCTGCTCATGCCATGAATAATTCTGGACCTACTGCTCAGATCATTGAGAGAGATGGATGGAAAACCAATATGGATTTTGTAGGGCATCGGAAAGCAGTTACAGTAGTGGTGAGTGAGTGGTAGTAATTTATCCCTGAAGTAAAAGTTCTGATACGTGCTTTTTGATAATTTTATGCGTAAATGGGACAAGGGGTAAAGACAGGTGTCAAGATTAGTAAAGCAAACGCATGATGGTGATTAAAAAATGTGAACTTTACATGTTGGAAGCAATCAGCTTGCTCTTGTGATAACAGAACTGGATGTATATGAGCAAGGAGGAGGAGTACAGGAGCATGTTAGGGATCCCAAACACTAGCTTTGTTAGCTGTTGATTAAAGTGACTTAGGTTTCTAGCGGGTTCCTGATTGCTAGTAAAATTAATATTATTTGCCATTCCCATTAAGGCATTCAGAAAGCCCCTTAAGAAAGCATATGCAGCTTTTGTCACTTTCTATGAAATGTTTCTTTTTTACTCTTAAGTGGAAAACTTGCTTTTAAAGCAGATCTCCTACTAAAATGTAATTACTGTAATAAAATTTGGGGCATCTCATTTGTTCAGAAATTCAATCCAAAAATCTTCAAGAAGAAACAAAAGAATGGTAGTTCCACCAAGTCAAGTTGTCCCTACTGCTGTTGTGCTGTTGGTAGTAAGGATCGATCCCTTTCTGTCTGGGTAAGTGGTTTTTTTCCTGCCTTTGAACTAATGTGGTCATTTGGATAACTTGGGGGTTTAGCACAAAGATCACATGTACAGCATTAGGTCTTATATTTAGATTCATGTTTAGTTTTTTTCTCTCTGTTGTTACAGCATTAGCTGGGGGGAAGGAAGTGGATTGGTATTAGTTCATTTCTTTAAAGCCAAGAGCAGCTAGAAGTCAGTGGCAGAGTATGTTGACCTGGTAAGGTGGAGGAACTGTTAAGGGAAATAATGTGTTACCACAGTTAATAAACATAATTCAGCCCTATTTTCTTCCTATGTCTTTTGCTTGTTCTTCATGTGAGCCTCTTTAAGAAAAAGACTTTACTGTTTCTCCATGTTTAGCCCACCTATCCATTAATCACTCTTAGAGCCTAGCTTTGTTAGTCTTGCTCTTATTGGTACGCGGAGAATATAGCAGACACAGAATAGCTGTTTCTGAGCACATATATGCCTCATCTTTCTGCTTTGTTCTGGCTTCAATCCCTGGCTTCTGTCTTTAGTATGGAAGGGAATGTGAAAATGAATGAACTTTTTAAGTATACTTTCAAGTTTTCAATATCTAGTTTGGGTTTTACTTTAAAATCTACACTAAAATTGTTACTCTGGCTAAGAGAAGAGTAGCTATTCTCACATTTATAAATGCAGGATGGGTTGTTTGGCAACTGCAAAGGACAGGGAATAAATTTAACTCATTTGTAAAGCTTTGTGATGAGAACATGTGCCAGAACACACCAATTGCTATCTGCAATCTACTATTTATAGATTCCAGTGTGATATTTATCCATCAATCGCTAAAAGCATAACACTAAATCTGTTTCTGGCAATGCTACCAGTGGATACCCATATCAAAGTATCACTCTCGGTGTATTTTACTTTCTATTTATACTATGATTTCATATAGGTTACCTGTTAGGTTATACTAGGTATTATAGAGATGCAAAGTTATAGGCAGTCTTTGCCCTGAAGAGCTTAATAGATACTCATACAGCACAGACCTATGGAAACATAACAGAAATAACTACTGAAGATGACTACTGCGCTGCATCTGTGAACCTACGAACATGAAACATCCTACACCACGTTGACTTCTGCTTCGTTTCAGCTGTACTATATGCTATAGATATTAAGTCCATTGGTTTAACAATAAAGAGCATAGAATGTCTGATTTAGAACAGGTTACTGGGAATTTTCGTATTCAGTTCTTTATAACTAAGCAGATTTATGAGTGTAAAGGAATCCTCTTTAAGAATAATTGAGTCAAATTCCCTTTGCTCTGGATAGGCTTCACCTAGAGAAGTAGTCCGAGTGAGGACATGGGAACCTAATCTGTTTTCTGTCTTCCTCTTGTGCTGGCAGTTTGCAACATCCTTATCTCAGTAAAGCTTAGAATAGAAGCTGTCTTTAGTATCTGTGGAATTACTTTTTGAGTGGTAGAGAGTGTTCTATGACTGCAATCTAAAGTTGGTTAAGAAATTCAGTCTGTGTTTCAGAAAGGAAGGGAGGGTTGAATGTCGGCTCTTCTCCAAAGCTTTTCTGTGCCTGTAGCAGAATGGGTAACTCGGTGCTTCAGGTATACCACCAGGCATACAGCTGTCTCCTGGCCAGATCTTGCTTGGTAATTATTGTTAGACGCTGCAAGGGTGTTAATGTGATAATATCTCTGGTAGTGTAGAACTTCTAAATTTCTGAGTATTGTTTCTTCTGTTTTAAGCTCACATGTCTGAAACGTCCTTTAGTTGTCATACATGAGCTGTTTGACAAGTCTATCATGGACATCTCCTGGTAAGTTGGTTTCGGCTCTTTGTTACAAAAGCCAAAGTGTTGCTATCAACTTTAGGTATACACGTTAATTGGAAATTCCTTAAAAACAGGACAGATTGTAGCTGTTGGAACACAAGTAATTGGTTCCTGAAGGTTTTGGTTCTGCTGCACATCTTTGGTAGTAACGTGTGATGACTTGAGATTGTGTAATGTTAAAACTGAATAAAAACTAATGTATTGAGAACATAGTGCAGTAGTATACCTGTGGAACGAGTTCCTACTTGTTATGATTCTCTAAAATTTTTTTCATAGAATATGTATTTTATAGCATGACATGGTGGACTTGGTGAGTTCTATGTGCATTACATCTATGAAAAGTTACTGCGCTGTACAGTTACAACAAATTCAGGTGAACCTTCTAGGCCAATCTTTCTTTCATGCCTAAGGACACAATATACCAAAAGAGAAAGTACTTTTTGTTTCTTTAAAAATGTTTTATACACACACTCACTCATTTATATACACACACATATGCCCTACTCGCTCATTATTTGAATTCATTGAAGGATTTTCATGTATTAAAAAAGTAAATGCAATAGCTTTTGGTTTTAGTAAAGATGGAGTTATACCATGTTGTTGCAGCACCGTGTGAAGGGTGTAAATTACTGTGTGTTGAAGAGTCGCAGAGGGTGATCATGTAGCAAGTCTCTCAGAGAAGGGATAATGAACCTGCTACACCCAACCGCACTCCATCTACCAACCACACCCCACCCACCAACCACAGGACATAGCAGAAGGGCAAATGCTGAGCTTTCCCAAGAGACCACAGGACATCTCTAGTGATTTGGGTTGGGTTGGACAACCCACTTTCCCAGCAGTCTACTGTCACAAATCTTGTTTTCTTCCTGCTTTCTTTCTAAGGCCTGGTCATAAAAATGCAGAAGTTAATAGTTCTTTATTCACTGCAAGACTTCAATAATAAGGGAGAAATAACCATGAGACCACTCAGTAAATGGTATTAAAAAAAATACTCTGCACCAATGCATCAGGCGATCTACAGAGTTAAGGGTTCTGTAAAAGAAAAGACTAATATTTTTTTCATGATAGGCACACAGCTCGTTTACATAGGTTGTCTTAATTCTAGCACTTCCTAACTTTTGAAATTCTACGTTAATAGCTGTAACAATCTTGGTGGGTTTATGTTGTAAATTTTAAAGCTTACAATTGTATAACTTCCTGTTTTCTGTGTGCCATGTAGATTTTGCCGTGGAGCTCAGTGAAGCACAATAAAAAGTTTTCAAAACCAAAACATTCTTCTTTCATTAATAGATTAAGGCTAGAAGGCCAATAAGTGGAATATTTCATGAGAAGTGCTGCTATTGTTGTAGTACAATAGCTTTGAATAGTTTTGTTTGCCTGTAGTGTTTATTTCTGCATCTGCAATTTGCACATTTTTCACGACAAAGTCATTGGGAGTAATAGCTGGTTAACGTTTTGCAATTTGTGAGGAAATGGTTTTGTGAGGTATTTGAGAGACAAAGGATCATCAGGAAGCTTATTTTACATCCTGTTTACAAATTCAAATGTATGGCTAAAATGTCAATAATATAGAAAGTTCCCAGAAACATGCTCCATTCTGAAAACAGACTGAGTAAATTCAGAGAAATATGATACTATTATATTGTTATAACTATCTCATTTCTGTTTAAGAGTTTTAGACTTGGATCCATCATCATAATATCTGAACATGATTATGTTTTCATCGAACAGTTGTTTGGATCCAGAGGTCAATAGGAGCTCCGCAATTTTGTCTGCCAAGCAAGCAGAAAACTCTCAACAAGATTTTATAATTTTCTAACTTGGAGTAGTGTTCGTTAACCTAGTTACACAGTGCTCAGGCTAACTTCTGTGGATGTGATGCCATCAGGGCACAAGCCACCATGAAAAAAGACATTTTCAAACACCTGTAGCCATGATGCATGTAATATTTTTAAGCCTCGCTGGACGAATTTGGATAGGACTTTGGAGTTCTGCCTGCTTCTCTCTCCTCTTCTGTTCTCTGTAACAAGTAATCTGTAAACCACTATGCCACTGTGTCTGTGAGCTCTACAACTGGAAGTTACTGGGTTAGCAGTCAAAACTCATCAAATATTATTTTTTTCAAATGTGCAATAATAGGTTATATATGGAAGGTTATCATTCCATTAAGACTAGAATGTATAGTTTCTCCTATCTCTCTTCTACTAAGAAAACTTTTTGAGATGTCCAGAAGAGGGTTATAATATATCCCCACTTACAAGAAGAACATGTGCAGTTTGATTCAAACCCCAAATAATGATCGGTAACAAAATCAAACATAAGTTCTTGCCTAATACAGAGATTTTTTGACTGCTCAGGTGCAGAGCTTGCTTTCTTTTTATTGCTGTCGCTGCAGATGATGATGATAGAGAAGAGGCATTTACCCAACAGAGAGCTTCTCTCTTAAGAACCCCATCCCTTCTTCTTCCTATCTTGTCTATTTGGACTGTAAGCTCTTTATAGGAATGGACTCTCTCTTACTTGTTTCCCATCCATGATGAAGCTTTATCTTGCATGGGCCCCGAACAGCAGTTTATAGGGCCTTAAAAGAAGTGATTCAATTGCTTATCTGCTAAAGACCCCTTTCTTCACCCAGTCCCATTAGCGCACAAATTTATACATTTTTTTAAGCAAATAAGTTTATAATTTTCTCTCATTGTTCACGGTGAACAGTGTTCTGTTTTACCCCTACAGAAAGGTTTTCGTGGTGCTGATCATACCATGGGTAGGTGTATTGTTCTAATGACACCTTCCTGTGTGCAGTCTCCAAATGAGTATCAGCACATGGGCTCCTGCTGTCCATCACCCTGTCTCCTTGCTGTCCCACTTCTTTGGTTCCATCAGTAGTTGCTGTCATAATAAAACTTATGCTGAGATTTTTATTGAGCGATTTATTGTATTGCCTCATTGCGTCAATGAAAGAGACTGAAAACAAAGATGGACCTTTATTTCCTTCAGGACCCTTAATGGACTTGGTATCCTGGTGTGTTCCATGGATGGATCGGTGGCGTTTTTGGACTTTTCCCAGGATGAACTTGGAGATCCACTCAGTGAGGAGGAAAAGGTACAGTAAGCACTCAGAGAATCTGTGATCATATTTAAGGGATGTATCGATTCAACTAAAATATTGAACTATTTATAGAAGTATGTAGAGACTGATTTCCCTATTACAGAAGAATGTGTTCTTGCCTACAAATCATTAAAAAATAGTACTCTAGAAATGAATTTGTGATACTAGTTTCTGTTCTGTTTTTGGAAAACATCCACTTGCTTACACATCATTATACATTTGAAGTAATTATTTGACCAAGGAAACAAGGAGTGGGTGCTTCAAAACACTTTAAAATTACTCTTTGACTTGCATATATGCGAGTCTTTTTAAACTGATTGCTGTTGGCTGTTTTTTCCTCTCATTGCTGTTAGCAGCTAAAGCTTTGGATTCCAATTATTTTACGTATTGATTTAGTGTTAGCTGAGAATATAGAGAAAGCAAAAAAACCTGTAGTGTATAAATGATACAGAGGGCATTTGCATTTTATGGATTCCATCAGATTTGTGTGATTCCGTTGCATCGTAATTAGTGATGTCATGCTAGCAGTTTTAGTCTATTTTTTTGTGTGATACATTTTTAACACCCACAGAGCAACATTCATCAGTCCACCTATGGTAAAAGCCTAGCTATAATGACCGAAGCTCAGTTGTCTACCACCATTATTGAGAATCCAGAGATGCTCAAGTACCAACAGAGACAGCAACAGCAGCAGGTGGAGCAGAAGAATGCATCAATTAGGGAAGCATCTGGGACTGCGACAGCAGCTCCCAAAGTGGCAAGCATGGTGAATGGGGAGAGTTTGGAGGACATTAGAAAGGTAGGTGTTCTTGGATAGTCACTTTATAGTGTCAAGTACTAAGCCAATAAATATCAAACTGCTTATGATAAAACCAATTTCTGCTTCCTTATTTGTGTTGAATGGCACCTTTCAACCCGTGAATGGTCCAGTTGACATTACTGGGACGTTGAAAAGTTAAAATGCTTTTAAGCAGAAGTAAGAGTGTGGAAAAAAGGGTTGTGGATATTTCTATGATAGGTGCTAAATTCTCAGTATACAGAAAGGAAACCAAAGGTAGCTAATAACAATCAAACTATAGAACTGTGCTTCAGTTTCTCAATGAAGGAGATTAAAAGTGTTATTTAATTCTCTCCTAAACATCCAACACAACTTTTAATGAAGGATTCAATGCGCACAGATGAAAACGTTTCAGACTTGACTCTCTAATGTGGAGAGCGGATTCCATTCTCCACAAATGCCCTTTCTACAGATGGATAGATCCAGAATTGGAAATGTGTGTGTTTAAATTAAAAAGAATGTGTGTTATGGTACAGCCTGAGAGCAGTAATGAGAATCAGAATTCTCTTGTACTTTGTTCTACATGAACTTCTACTTAAGAAACACCTACTATTGGTCAAAAAAAGTTGTGGCGTTAAAATACACTTGCATTAATAAAAGTTTAGATTGATTCTATTTATACAATAATAGCATGGTTCAAAGACAATATGGAGAAAAATATTTGTTAACAGATTTTTTTAATGGAGGAACATCTTACATCTAATATACCTATTCCTGTCAGTTGGAAAAGAAAAATAGAAAAAGCATTTCCTATTTTATCAGAAATGACAATGCAATATATTTCCCAACAGAATCTCTTAAAAAAACAAGTTGAAACACGAACGGCAGATGGTCGGAGACGGATCACACCTCTCTGCATAGCTCAACTGGACACTGGGTACGTTTGGAAGTAGTCTTTAAAATCCTTCTTTACCTTTTTATCTTGTTTTTGATTTGTTTGCTTGTTTTTTCCACTGATGGAAACTGAGAATTCTGACTTATTTTAATCTTATGGCATCTTAAAGCACTTGCTGAAAATACCTTGTGTATATTTACGGAATATAGTTTCAGCCTATTTTCTCTTAGCTATAAGATCTCACTTCAAATAGATAAGGCTAATTCTCGTTATCTACTATTATAGATGAGTGATCAATACTCTAATGTATTGCAGGTTCATATCTACATTAATTCTGGCTTTCGTGTCCTTTGTATATGGGAAACAACTCTGGAAAGTTAGGTCTTAGTGGTTTATTTAGGTTGTGTATGAGTATCCACATGTGGAAAAGGGAAGAATGGAATAAATAGTTAAAAATAATTGAAAAAGAATAATTTTAAAGTGATTTCGAGAAATATATTTGCTGTTTGTCTTTTTGCTTAGGGATTTTTCTACAGCATTTTTCAATAGCATCCCAATATCTGGATCTCTGTCTGGCTCAATGATGTCTTCTCAAAGTAACCAGCAGCTCATGTCATTAGATTCTAACGCAGTAAATTCCCTTAATACTTCAAAGCCTTCTGTAGAGCCAACAGCAGCCAGTATAAAACCAACAGATGATGCAGCCAATAAAGATGGGTCAGTATTTACAGTTTTGTTTTTCACTTATATGACTGTTTAGTTTTTAATTCTTGTTTACAGTTCTGTAATCAAACAATTATTAAAGTGATTTCCTCACTGCAAAACTTCAAGAATCTAACATTCTGGACAACATCAAGATTTTGTTAGTATTTGGTTACTTTAAGTAGTGATAAATCAGTAGTGAATAAATCCATATGCATAGTTCTGGAAATGAACTTTAGTGCAAGGAGGTACCCAGTTGATTGCTAATGCTCTAACAAATTGACTTGCTTATAGGTTACTGGCTTCCTATTAGTAAACAGTAGAAGGTTTTCTAGCTGTGGAAGTAATGAAGCCTGTTTTCCATCAAATTCTATCCTGTGTCTTGTAGATCTCATCTCTTCAAACATGGTAATATTTCTTCCCTGTATAACAGCCTGATCAGAGCACAGTGACGTTGTCTTGTCAGAGTACATACGCTGATTGGCCAGTGTGTCTTTCAAATTAATTATGGAACAACTAAATTTTGCTTACTTTTCCCTCAGTGATAACACTGACTTGGTTTCTCCTCCTCCGTGTGTTTTTATAGTATTTGTAAGAGCACAGTGTCACTGGAACCTCTACCACTCCATCACACTTAGTTGAAATTGGCCACGGATTAAAAAATGAGTGTGTAGACTATGAGAAATCATTGACAGATGAAACTATTAAGTCTCCTTTTCTTTGGAAATTGGACTTCAAACAGCTTTTTAGTACAAACATCAGTTATCTTTGAGCCATTCTTTCTTGCAATTCATTCTCTGAATGAATTGAAAAATGTCTAAAGTAAACAGCTATTCAAATAACAGATCCCTGGAATGCTGTAGTGTGAGGAAAACACATTCCTTTGCCTTAGAGTTATGCTTGGAAAGGTCTAATAATTAGTTTGAATTCTTCAACAAGAAAATCAAAACCTGACATGAGTCGTTTCGTTGATAGACAGTGGAATATAAGCTTGTAATGGAAAGTATTTGGTAACCCAAACAAGGGGCAAAACCGGGAACCCCAGTCATCATTTAAAGTGATCCTTTCCCTTTGGGTATGTAAGTACCAGCTGAAAATATAATTTCACTTCTGAACTAAAAATACATAATGAATGAATTAGGGTCTTTAATCTAGGTATATTTATGCGGCCACATAAAGCTCTTAGCTCTGAGATGTATCATATACAGCTTTTGAGAATAGGCAAAGCTTGCAAGATACTGATGCTTGAAAGGGGAAAAAGCATATCACAATTCATGTATGTACTTGAGTAAAAGGTTTTCAATATGGTTTCTAGCCAGTATAATGAATGCTAGCTAGTAGTTATGAGCAATGTGGGTTAGCAGTAGTAAATTTCTTTCAATCCTTATTTTCCTGTCTCTTTTATTGACAGTGTAAATGCTACCTCTGCCTCAACTGCTCCTTCTGCATCGTCTTCCTCTGTGTTGACAACTCCATCCAAGATTGAACCTATGAAAGCATTTGATTCTAGATTTACAGAACGATCCAAAGCCACCTCAGGGACTGCTGTGGTAACAAATACAAATCAGACTGTTGTGGACAGGTAAGAGAGATGGCGGTGGGGTGCGAGGGGATAGTAATGTAAAGAGTTAAAAATGTTGATTCTCTGTGGTGTGGATGTCATGGTGCTGGCACTTTAGAAATTGTCTCAGGTCTCTTCCACAATTGGAAGGAAGGGGACAGCTGCAAATAGGTAAATTCTTTGCTGGCATTATCCCTTTGTACATTTGTCTCTGGCATTTGGAATCAAGCAGACTCTTCAAAATATTCTGAGTTAAAAGTATTGTTACAAGAGGCTGTGTGTGCACATGGCTCCATGTGTGGCTGCATGTATCTGTGCTCCTTAGAAGACAAAAATAGCCAGCCTGCATCTCTGTACAAGAGTGAGATTTGCTTCAAGATAAATTACCATACATGTCTGCAAATGGCCTATCATCATAATAGCTGCAGTTGTATTTCAGTTTTATGCCTTGAAGGCATACAGAGAAGATGCTTTGATTTTAAGGGGTTTTGCTCTGGATCCACAGATTTAAAAAACAAGAAGAAAGCCTTTTGGTTTGTGACATAGTGTGTTATGGCATAAGTATTTCTGCTTCAACAAAACAAGTGGTAGAAAAAATGGCAGTCTTGAGAGACAAGTATGTAGTTCCCCAGCTTATTGTCAGTAAACTGTGTATTTACTAAATACCTCAATATTTTTATGTGAAAGGGTTTAACCATATGATGCAGAAGAAAAATGCATTAAATTACTCTCATAATTGCTTCTAATGTGTCAGTAAAGTATGGATTAAAGTGTATTGTTTGGCATAGTGATGCCAAAGAAAAAAGGTTTGGATTATGCAAGATATTTCTAGGAAGCTGAGTGGTTATGGAATAAGTGGCAAAACGTTGTGAGTTAATAACCAAGTGTTGGAGGGAATGGGAGGAGTATCATTAAATGACCTATTTTAGGGTATGCTTGTTAACAGAAAGAGTTCCCAGAGATTTGTACTCTGTCGTCTTTAGTTATATTGTATTCCTGAAATGGAAAATAGAACAGTGAGGTCATTTGTATGGTTTGCAGATATGCACTTACTTACAGTAGTCAGAACTGAATAAGATAACTTTTGGAGACAGACGACAGAATGACAAATGAAGTTCAGCATGAGTAAGCAGGAAGTGTAGTGTCCATTGGAGAGGGAAAAATGAACTACTCTTGCATCTTAGAGTGCTGAATTATTTATATCCACCCAGGGAAAGGGATCTGATTGTAATTGGAACTGAATGCTAAAATAAAGTTATTTAGCAGTTAGCAACTGGATAAAACTGTGGTTTGATCAATTTTTTTAAAGGAGAGAAAAGGTTTGATCAGTTCACATATATATTGCACATTGTACTTTTGCAGAGGATTTGCCGTACCTCTTTGGCTTCTTCCTCTTGCCTTTATGCATTTTGAAATACAGTCAAACAAGGCTAAGAATGTATCTTTTTACCTACGAGAATGCAGTGCAGAGGATATGTGGCAGCTTTTGGAATCAGCTTATATAAAACTTGAAACTTTTTTTTTTTACTTGCTCAGACTGAAGGATCAGAATTTAATTAAAGACAATAAGCCCAAGGATATTCTGGAGAGCAGCAGTGACAGTGAAGAGAAGATTCCAGCTGCTAAACCACTCAGTGCACCCAAACGGAAACTGGAACTTGAGGGAGAAACGGTAGAAAAGAAGAAAAAAGGAAGACCTCGAAAAGACTCCAGACTTGTACCAGTAACTTTAACTGTTCAGGTGAAATAAAGAAGTTTCATTGTGGCTTTCAATGTTAATTTCATAAAGTCAGTCCCATGTTGACTTGTTCCATCAAGTCAGGGAAACATGAGTAGTATCAGTCCCTCAGAATTTTTAGCCATCCCTCTTCCTTGCCTTTAAACTTACTCTTTTTAAAATTTAAGGTTATAAAAAGCAGATGCGCACAGTGTGGCAAATGTGTCCATCCTTTATGTCAATATGCAGCTACTTACTAAACGGTACCAGCATGCTAAGTAGTGATAGCCTGCCGAATGACTGTATAGAATAAAATTAAATGCTGTCAGTTCTTGGTGTTCTTTGATGGAGAGTGACCCAAGCACAAGAGAGTGACTTGGATATGATGAATTAAATGGTTATGATTTTCTTTGGAACCGTGAAGTAGTAAGTTGCGTTAGTGTTTCCATCCTTTTAGGGTATATAGATCCCGGTATATAGATCCCTCTCTTTTCAGTATTCAGAGCTTAGCTTTTTCATGCAATATACTGAAATTTCCATTAATTAGTTGCAGCTGAAAAGGGGGGGATGTAACAAAAAAAGAAGACCACATCTAGTTTGTTTTGGTTTTTTAATTCTTAGAAGCTATATTAAAAAACTTGTGTTTATACAGCTGATTGGAAGAAGATTAATATTTGCAATTGGCATTATTTGGAATTAAAAAAAATCTTTCAAATCAATCTATATTATAGAATATCTTTAGTTTTAACTTTTTTAATGGAAACATTTAATTACTTTTGCACCTTTTTTTTTTTTTTTCCAGTCCCCAGCTACACTGGCCTCTGAGAGGGATGCTGCTTGCATCTCTGCACCAGCATTAGCACTTAAGCTGCCAACGCCAATCCCACAGAAATCATTTACTTTGCAAGTAAGTGGACTATAAGGGAGGAAAAGCTTAATACTTAAAATCCTGCTTTTTTATATTCTTAGATTATTCAGATCCTTTGATAAATTAATGTTTGAATACATGTATTTGTTCAAGCAAGCAAGATAGTATACTTCACCTTCTAAGAACATGTCTGTATGAGAAAAGTCAATGGCAAATCAGTGAAAATAGGACACTTCGGAACTAGCTAAACTTCAAAGAGGAATACCTGTGGTTCGTCAGTCCCTCCTGGTTAACCAAAGTATGTTGTAAAGATAAGAGTCTCTGATGGGAGTAACTGCTGCATTATTACAGTTGTATTGGTAGTACACTGCTGAAGAGAAAAAGCCAAGTATTTTCTGAAAGCTCTCTGGAGGTGCTCTGCATCTGAAGAGACTGGCAAATAGTATCAGTTTAGGTTTTCATGAAATAATTTTTCTGCATGTTTAGGCTGTGGTAGTCTGGTTCTAATTGCAAGATTATAGGGAGACTGGGCACATCTAGGCTTGGTCTGGTGCCCTTAATTAGGAAGCACAGACTAGCACAACCTTTCTTTATTCTTCAGATAGAAAGAACTTTGTGTTCTAGCCAAGACTGATCAGAGGTCTGCTTCTTTTGAAGTACTACAGCATGTTTTGAAGCCACTTTAGACAGAGAATGCCATGCTTAAATCTGTTCTTAAAGAAGCACTGTTTTGCATCTAATAATAGTTGCTGCTTTTTTGAGTAGTTATTTTCCTCTTCCCAAAAGTATTTTATTTTTTTTTGTATTTCAGATAAGTTCAGATCCATCAATGTACCTTGAAGTGGAGAATGAAATGACCACAGTGGGAGGTTCAAAGCTGAGCAGGCTAAAGTGTAATCGAGAAGGAAAGGAATGGGAGACGGTCCTCACCAGTCGAATTCTCACTGCAGCGGGAAGCTGGTAAGAGAGTATATTTTGGAGGGCCCTGAGGGCCAGAAAACATTTTTAGGGGTACAAAAGTACACTTTACAGAAAGTTAATTGCTCCTAAACCCACATATTTACAAATAAGTAGAGGCTTTAAAGGTATTTTATCTACTTATTTAGAAAGGTTGATTAACTGGATCACTTGTATTAAGGATTTTTGTGATTCTTTGGGCTTGGCCTAAGATGTCTTATTTCTCTTCCAGCTAACCTGGTCTAATACATTGATGGTCTTAAACTCTTACTGTGTGGAGTTTTTTGTAGAGATTCTGACTTATTTGTGTTGACTATTGCTATTTGCTGGCTTTATCACCCCCCATTGTAATTTTTACACAACGTTTCATAATAAATATTTTGTGGATAAAAATATGTACTGCTTTTAGTCTTAAGACCAATTTCACTCCCAAGTATTAGCTCTGTGCAGTCTTAAGGCATCACAAATTCTCTTTAGCCAGTTACAACTATTTTCCTGTCTATTTACATTTCCCCTTTAAATTTCTTCATTAAAATTGACTAAATCATGGTAAGTGACAGTTGTTCAAGTGCTAACTACTGAAGAATGAAAAATTTGAAACAGGATGTTTTGTGACGAAGTATTTTACTGAGTCTTTTGCTATTTTTTCTCTTTATTTTTCTCAGTTTAGCTTAGTTCCAACCTCAGAGTTTAAACTGAAAGTATATTTCTGAAGCCTGAGCCATGTCCAGGTCTGAAAAAGAAGCAGCAGATTTTAAAGCTAAATATAAGTACAGGCCTGAAGAAGAGCTTGAGTATACCCAAAAGCTTTACTGATATTTCCAACTACGGCCCTTGATCTAATAAAAGATACTGTCTCTGCCTGCAAACCTTCTCTTGCCCATCTCCTTAGAACATCATAGTTATAATCAAATTAAGGAGGCATGGAATGCACCTATATCTATAAAAAAATACATATAAAAATATATTTAATATA